CTATTAATCGAGTTTATTAAGTATTAGTCTCAGTTATATTAAAAAGGAAAATATAAATAATAAACAAGCATGAAAAGTAAATCACTTCGTTAAAATAACTAAGGATAAAGAAAACTTCTTTACATTTTAAACTACGTAAATAACACAATTTTGGGACACCCTGTATAATTGAAGAGAAAAAGAAAGAGATTGAAACTTTTACATGCAGTTGATGAACTTGAGTGAAAATAGCGTGTCCCGACTGCATGCATATTACATAAGTAACCTCCAAAAAACAGTTTCAATGAATTCGCTCAAGCATCCAGAAGATAATTATGGAAAGCAATTATAGTGAATTCTCCATAATCGACGCTCAGAGTGTGCACAATTCGAGGCTCTTCTTCCCAAATCGTCCATTTTTGTTTACAAGCTGAGCGACAATTGTCGAGAATTTACCACAACCCCCAAGGAAGCCTACAAAAGTTATCAATAAACTATTCGAAAAGTCTCCAAGAAATACCAACCCTCTCCTCTCCAAAAACTGCTTCCAAATACCTCGCGAAACACGCGACACCCCTACACCTACACAAGAAGGATTTCAAAAGACTAGATTTTCAAGGGACCAATATATATATAGCGTTCCAAGATAACCGTATACAACCCCCATAAAGGTGATGAGGGCCCACGGTCCCAAAACCATAAAACCAACGACCTTCGAGTGCACTTACGATCTGGCGATTTCTGCCATAATCCCTAGTTACTCTAAACTAATTCGTCAACACGCGAGTAACAAGGGCGCTGCGTTTCAGGTTCGAAGGTGGATTGGAAGTTCTTCGCTCCGCAGAACCAATGGCGTGCTCACCTGGAGACCTCGCAGCGCAGTCAGCGAGGCCAGGCCGAGTACGTGAATAATCCGCAGCAGTCGGTGCAGAGAACCCAGCAATCTCAGTTAGTGGGGCTGCAACAGGAGCTGGAACAGGTGCACTACAAGCCAACGTATCAGCAAGCCGAATCGGCGCAGCCGGACGCGAATCAGCACAGAGGGTATCCGCAGAGCCAGCTGACCCAGCCGGACCCGAGTCAGTACAAGGGCTACTCGCAAACTCAGTCTCAACTGGAGCAACCGAGCCCTGTGCAGGTCCTCTACAGACCGTACCCGCAGCCGCAGACCCCGATAGACGCTCAACCGGCGCCTATTCAGGTCCACTATAAGACGTACGCGCAACCCGAGCCATCGACCGACGCGCAACCGCAATCAGCTCCTATTCAGGCCCAGTACAGGTCGTATCCGCACCCTCAGTCGCGAGTGGACGCTCAACAGGAACAGCCTCGGTACAGAGTGCATCAGACACCTCAAGCTCAGACCTCGGCGGAGGCGCAACCGGCTCCGGAGCAAGATGTGGATCAGCAGAAGGCGTACCTGCAGGATCAGGCTCCGACTCAGGTGCACCCGGAACCTAATCAGCTGCAGTACAAACCACTTTCCGCAGGTCCAGCCTACGTGAAGCAGCTGCTGCTGGAGAACTTCAAGCCGCAGCGGCCTTACGCGGACCCGACCGCGTTCTTGTACACCACGAACTACGTGCCCCAGCAACGCGATCAGCAATCGGCGAACGCCGAGCAGTCGCCTTACGAGCAGTCGTCGGAGAGCTACGAGCAGTCGGAGCTGCCGAAGACCAGGCGAGAGTACTCGGGCAGAGGGATCCAAGGTAGAATCGTCTACAAGGACGACTACAAGCAACGGGATCAGCAGGAATCGCCGCAGCTCCAATACGTCCGGGTCCCGATCGAGAAGCTACCCGCTCCGCCTTCGCCAAGGCTGGTCCTCGACAAGAACATGCCTCCGGAAATCAGACAGTTGTTGCAGTTCCAGGCCCAGCTGCCTTACGACGTCATCGCCAACAGCATCACCTACAAGCCAAAGACACTGTTCATCCCCAAACCGCTCCCGCCCGATGCCAGCGGCACCTATCAATATCGCAGCAAGGTCTATTATCCGAACGTTGAGCAGTATGAACCCGAGTTCGAGACGGCCAAGCCTGTTCAGGAAGATCAGAGGCATTGAGCGACGGCTCAGGATGTTTTCCATTGAGAAGTGGTATTGAGTATATTAGGTTGTTCAACGGTTATGGTGTTTCCGGGAGAGGAGGGGTTCCTGAGGCTATTCGAAGCAAGTTTTTCCTTGGCGAAAATGCAATACGCGGCTTTCGAATGATCTTAGGAACGTATATTTTTCGAGGAAGTAACATAGTTTTGGGAGACTTCGTATACTGACGACACTGTTACAGCAACACTGTATAGTTTTAGTAATTTACGCAGGAGTTGCGCGATTTTTCACGCGACCTCTGAACAAGGAGATCGAACCTTTAGGAACAGAGTTACCGATTTTGATACTTGCTGTAGGGGTTTCATTTTTGACAATCTATGTCTCTGTATTGAAATGTTTCTGCCAGCTTTTAGTTTTTAGAGTAAGCCGTGACATTGGAAATTGTTCTTGTTCGACGTTGTAGTAAATTCCTGTAATTGACCCTCGGCTTGTACGCAAGAATGGAGAATTTGAGGAAGAGGAGATACGATTAATCATTTTTGTTTCTAAGCTGAGCGTTGATTAAGAAGAATTTACTATATTATACATAGTAATATAAATTCTCTCTAATTGACCTTCAACTTGTACACGAGAATGGACAATTTGAGGAAGAGGAGATACGATGATCCATTTTTGTTTCCAAGCTTGGGGTTGATTCAGAAGAATTTACTATATTATATATAGTAATATAAATTCTCTGTAATTGACCCTCAGCTTGTACACGAGAATGGACAATTTGAGGAAGAGGAGATACGACGATCCATTTTTGTTTCCAAGCTTGGGGTTGATTCAGAAGAATTTACTATAGTTTGAATTCTATACTGGAGGGTTCATAGAGTAGTTCTCTCTTCTCAAAAAAGATATTTGCATCGCTTCACCATTTCAAACACAAATATTTTGCGAAGGGGACTTTTTTCAAAACTAAACGGAGATTTAATTTCCCAAATTTGTGCTCGAAGCATCTAAAATTTGTAAACATGACCCATCCAACTGTTCCAATACAAAGAAAACTGAATTCGTAGAATCTGTTGGACCTTGCAATGATAAAGTTGGAGCGAACCGAGACGACGATATTAGATTTTGCAACAGAAGAAGGTGTGAACCGATTATTTTCGATATCGAGTTACCTTTTTATTCGGTCGATCCGTCAAGGTGCACCGTTTTTGTTTTAATTTATTACGTATACAATTGTTTCTTGTTTATGACTTTCGGTAGCTTAGCAATTTTGTCAGACCATGCACGTTCACATAAACGTATTGTGCACGTACTAAGGTATACAAAATTTGTTACAACGAATTAGCGATAGAATATTCTATTTTCTAAAATAGTATTAGAACCCTCGAAATAATTTACATAAACGTATTGTGCACGTACTAAGGTATACAAAATTTGTTACAACGAATTAGCGATAGAATATTCTATTTTCTAAAATAGTATTAGAACCCTCGAAATAATTTACATAAACGTATTGTGCACGTACTAAGGTATACAAAATTTGTTACAACGAATTAGCGATAGAATATTCTATTTTCTAAAATAGTATTAGAACCCTCGAAATAATTTACATAAACGTATTGTGCACGTACTAAGGTATACAAAATTTGTTACAACGAATTAGCGATAGAATATTCTATTTTCTAAAATAGTATTAGAACCCTCGAAATAATTTACATAAACGTATTGTGCACGTACTAAGGTATACAAAATTTGTTACAACGAATTAGCGATAGAATATTCTATTTTCTAAAATACTATTAGAACCCTCGAAATAATTTACATAAACGTACTGTGCACGCACTAAAGATATACAAAATTTGTTACAACGAATTAGCGATAGAATATTCTACTTTCTAAAATAATTTTAGAACCCTTGAAATAATTTTTCAAACTGCTTGAATCATTTTTCAGGTCGCTTGAATCGTTTTTCATAGATACTGCCGCTGCGCGTCGCGGAGAGAATCTGAAATTCTCGATATTCTTGACAGCTCTGTAATCGCAAATCTTTTCATTTAACGTAATCTCGTACCTTATCTTAAGCTTTATGTTACCTTTACCTTACTCGGCTTCAAACGAGTTCGAGTACATTTCTCGATCGACGTTACAGTTACAGTATTAAACGTTGCTACAATCTACAGCATTGCCGGCGTTAAACGGAAACACAAACGTTCCATTAGAAATTAAATAAATAATAAATTGTACATAACTGTCATTTAGACTGCGCCTGCTTACGAAGAAGCTCCATTGTAATACGCATATAAAAGTGGGCTATCGTTAACGTCGCGTCGGCGTCTACATGTATCCTGCGCCGCTGTAATAATCACGAGGGTGAAGATTATAATTAGGCGAAACGTCGTCCAGCTGTCAATAAAAACATTTATATCCCTGTAGGTAAACAAATGCGTCGCCGATATGTTTCCCGCGGCACTTTCTACTTCGCCGTGACCGAAATATCGCGTTTGTAAATTAACTGTAACGCGTTCGTCTTATATAGCGAGAATCATTTTCCATTTCCACGAGTTCGTTCCTTTCGCGCTGGACGAAGCGAGTGGAAACGGCGCGACTCGGCTCGGCGCGGCGCGTTGTGAGCGGAACTTCCGGCGTAAAAGTAACTCGGTTGCGGTTACGAAATGGTCATCGATCCGTCGACCGCCGCTTCCGAGCTGAATTCATTTAGAACGTAACCCGTCGACGAACATTTCGTGCGAATTACCGGCTGTTTAGCCGGGCCGGTTAACGGGCGGCCGGCCTCTCTTCTTATTAAATCACGTTAGAAAGTAAGATGGCTTCCACCTTTCTAATAAAGACGCGTGCCCGATCCGTTGCAACGGGAAGCGGCGTGTGGCATCGCGCGTTCGCGTACGCACGGAAACCAGCCGATCCGATTTATTTGCTCCTCGTTGCGATATATACATTTTGAAAGTTAATGATACCGTGCCGGGAACACGTCGATGTGGCCGGGCTGTTACACTTGCCACGGATTCGCAACACCGCGGGAACATGGTGGCGGTGCTCTCGATCCTGTCGGAGAACGCTGTTCGAACGAAGGATAATTTATCGAAGGACATTCGTTGAACACCGCGGATTTTCACGGGGCTTCCAATTTTTACTCACCGTTCTCTGAAAATACCATTTCTCTTTAATCGACTAAAAGTTAACTTACGGTGAAAATGAAGGAAATATTGTACTCACTCTTATGGAAAACGGTCGAACAAAGGATAATTTATCGAAGGACATTCGTTGAATTTTCACGGGGCTTCCAATTTTTACTTATCGTTCTCTGAAAATACCATTTCTTTTCTAATCGACTGAAAGCTAATTTACGGTGAAAATGGAGGGAATATTGTATTCACTTTTATGGAAAATGGTGGCGGTGTTCTCGATCCTGTCGGAGAATGCTGTTCGAACGAAGGATAATTTATCGAAGGACATTTGTTGAATTTCCACGGGACTTCCAATTTTTACTCATCGTTCTCTGAAAATACCATTTCTTTTCTAATCGACTAAATTTTCGGTGAAAATGGAGGGAATATTGTATTCACTTTAATATGTTTTCCAGTAGAGGACATGAATTAATATAAATTCCATAAATGCGTGGAGCTCCGCGGCCTGGTAGTAATTAATTTACGCGCATGACTTCTCACTGGTCGGATTCCATAGAATTCCTCAACGTTACCGTGCAATGCGTCTGCGACAAGATGAGAACGTTTGATGATTAAGACTGCGGATATTTGTGCGAAATAAAAATTGTCCAAGTTAAAATTGTAAGAAATATAAGCTCGGTTTAAAGATCTTTCTTCTTTCAATAATTGTAATAAGTTGAACATAACGTGACAACGTCGTTAAATTCTTCTAGAGTCTTCACTGTTTTGTATTTGATTTATTCGATTTTATTAAAGAGCATAAAATCCGCGATCTACTTGAATCGACGATGACTTAAATTTGTTTGGACTGTTCAATGCAGTTTTACAGTGCAGAATTTTTGCAAGGATACGTACAGTCGAGTGCTCTGAAACCGAGAACATTCAGCTTTGTTTCTGCGATCGATTCTTCAAACGAATCGGAAACTTTTCGACGAAGTCGATCTGAAAATCGGATCGAAGCTTTCGACGTTCGTTTATTGGCGAAAGTGACGGAAGCGACGGAAGCGAAATTTCCCTGATACTCCAGAGTTCCAGAACAAGGAAGAACGTGTGGATTGGTCCGTTGGCCTTCACGCATTCTGCACCGATTCGCGTTACTCTCGGCAATCGGGATTATGCGCCGCGCTGCAACTTTCGTTTCTTCGTGGCTCCTTTGCACAAATGCATAATTCACCGGGACTTCTCGGGGTTCACCGAACTGCCATTGAAACCGTGTGGTATGCAGCCGGATAAAAATCTCGTTTCCTCGGCGTATTATCTATCCTCGCCGAGAAAAGCGAGGATTGTTCTGCTTGTTGCGAAACACGTTAACTCCTCTCCCTCTCTCTCCCGCTCTCTTTCTCTCCCGTTCTCTCTCTCTCTCTCTCTCTTTCTCTCTATTTCTCGTTACCCTCTCCCCCCGCCCTACTTATAATATACAATAAATGTCTATTTGCGCATAAACGAGATTGCATTATCGTGCGGAGAGCACGCGGTATATTCTCTAACGCGGAGATGAATTGTTTCCTGTTGGCCGCGACGTTGCATAAGAGCGTTTGCCGCACTTGCTTCTTATAAATAACAACCGCTTTCATCTTGCTGGTCGAACGAATTTTACGATATTTTTCTGCATGGGAATCTCATAAATTTCCGGCGATCGATTTCTATGAAGGAATTTCCGACGGGAACGAATATTTTTGGTAAAACCTTGGCGGCGTCGCTCGAAGAAAGTTCGGCACACTGATCCGCATTGTAGATCATTTTTTTTCTTTCTTTTTACGGTCGGCGAGCACGATTATTCCTCGGCGGGAAACGTTGCAACGCAATGATCAGACTGCGGATGTTTATGCGAACGCATACCTTTTTCAGAAAATAGTGGTGGACCGACCTGACCCGAACAGAAATTTATCTCACATTTTTTTGCTTCGCGTGTTGCACATGCAAGCATTTAGATGCATTTATATATGTATCATGATCGCCTGAATCCAGGTACCTTGTTAAATTAACGTCGTCCATTAGCCGGCATTTGTACCATAACCGGCGTCAGAATGCTGTACGCCGCAGCAAATCATGTATTCGAAGCGACAGGGTGAATTTTCTGCGAGCGCGTTTCAATGCTTTTTTAGACAAAATGCTTGTAATATAATAAAATATATTATTGTAATATGTATTGTAATATATATTGTAATATAATGTAATGTAATATTATTGTAATATAATATTATTATATAATTATTATATATAATATTTAATAATATAATATATAATATTATTATTATATAATAATGCTGTAATTCGAAGTATAACACATCGTAACAAGTATAAAACGTACCTCGATATTTAATATTAGATTTAATATACAGGGGATCGAAAAATGTCTCGCTGGCCGCGCTCGCTCTCCGATTGGTCAGCATTTTTCGCTAATAACTCGTAAACGAAGCCGCGGATTGCATTTTCGCTAAGGAAAAAGTTACTTCGAATGACCTAAGGAACCTCGCATTCCCCGCTTCTACAATAATTTTGGGACAACCTGTAACTTACACTTGTGGGACAGCGTGAAACTCGATAATTTTACGAAAGCTGGATAATAATTATTTTCAATTATTTTCCGGTTGCTCTGAACACGGTCTTGCGACAGTTTTTATTTACTATACCACTGTTGCTCCGTCGAATTATGTTATGTTAAATTTTCCCTCTGCTACGAACTGTTCAACAAGCTTGTTCGATTCTTTCGTTCTTCTGTTTTGCTTTTAAGACGTAATTTAACGAGACAATGTGTATTACGAGACAACGTAATTTAACGTGAATTATAACTGCGATATGTCTAATCGCGAAAGCTTAATACAGTAATTTCTCCGTAATTCGCGCTCGGATTGCGCACAAAAGTGGACAATTTGGGAAGAGGAGATACGATTATTCGAGCCTCGAGGCTCGTTTTTATGGTTGTTGACAATAGTCATATTAATATAATATTAATATTATATTATAATATTATTATAATATTATTATATCGATATCGTGTTATTGCACATCGGCAATACATATCTCTTTGTAAATGTTCGGTATCACCTGGCGATTATGGTTTGCAGCGTTGCGGATCCGTTCCCTGTTCCTCGTTTGTGTATCGTTTTTATGGATCACTTTCTAACGTCGTCGTTTACATTTCTATTATTCCCATTCAGGTATTGCCCAAGTTCCGTGCATACAGATGCATTCATTAATTGATGCACGCAGCGCGGCCATCGCTGCACGGTATAACCTTTGAATAGTATTCTCTTGGGAAACGTATCGCTGAATCGCATTCCTCGGTGATACCTTCAACATTTTCCGAGGATGCAATCCTCCCGTACACTTCGAACAGCCGTGGAGAGAAACCGATGTACAAAAACCCCATTGAGTTATACTTCGCGGTGCGCCGGTTACTTTCTGACATGCATTTCTGCCGTGCGCTAATCCCGTGCAATTTGCTGGATAAGAAAAACTTCTGTGTTCGTCGAACATTCCACTGACCTTAATGCCATCATTTCTTTTCCCAGCGAATCGGTTCTCGCCTTCTTTCAATGATCAGATTATAAATAAAATAAATGTAATTTTTGTTGAACAGAAATTCTCTTGCTCGAGAATTTTTTGGCTTGGCAAATGAATTTTAAGGCCGGCAGGTATCGAGACAAGAGTGCCGCGTGAGTCACGCATTGGTGACGCTAAGCTTTAACTAGCTTTTTGAAATTCATTTTTATTGCAATATATATTGAACAATATATTGAACAAATTCGTAGAATTCGCTATTTCGTAGAATACGAAATAGCTGAACCAATATTTTCTATGGTAAATTTTCATTTTGTATTTTCTTTTTCTATTCTTTTATTGTGCCATTGAATAAATGACTTTGTTATTGTGGGAATTTTTATATGATCCAGTTAATATTCGATGCTTAATGTGTTAAGGCCGCAGTTTGTAAATTCGATAATGACTTTTCGTAACGTTATATATGAATTATTTATTTTTAATACAGACAGTGCAGTGTCTGGCCTGTGAAATGTTTTATTCGTTGAGAGCGGAGTGATATTTAGTAAGATAAATGTCTACAACAGTGCAGAACATGCTTGCGACGTCTAATCTTGTCGAGCATGTTTTAAAACATTCGTGAACAGTTTTCACACGAAATTGAAGATTAGTGTTACAGCTGAAAGCACAAAATACAATATAATATTATATTATATTATATTATATTATATTATATTATATTATATTATATTATATTATATTATATTATATTATATTATATTA